CGTTTCTCAGTGATGGAGACGAGTTGCTGGTAGGCTTGGATGCGGAGCTCGCTCAACGCGTGGGTCAGACTGCTGACGTCAAAGGTCAGCAGCGGCATGCCCTCATGCACACACGACTGAAAATGACACATGGAAGCCCGCGATATTGAAATTCTCTCTCTCACACACACACACACACACACACACACACACACACACACACACACACACACACACACACACACACACTCCGCAACTTGTCCCCAAGACGTGACTCTGTTAACAATTTATTTTTGTCCCCACAACCACATGAAAACGAGAACACAATGGAAACACTTCTTGTGCGTGTACATGTGTGTGCTTCAGACCTGTTTGGGGGCATGATGAGTCAGCAGGTCGTGCAAGAGACTGATGTTTTTCAGCCACAAAGCAGTCATGTCTAAATCATTGTTGTTTTTCTGCAGGGGGGCGGTGGAACACATTCCATTCAAATCGTTGAAAAATGAGCATTTCTGTGTCGTGGATCTTGTGCATACATACCAATAACATGCATGTTAGGTTCATAGAAGACTAGCTTGCCCTTACTGAATGTGAGAACGTGTTTGTCCTTTCTGCATGAATATGCCCTGTGATTGACTGGCGACCACTCCAGGGTGTACCTTACCTCTCACCCAAAGTCAGCCGGAATAAGCTTCAGCTCACTCGTGACCCGAATGAGTACAAGCACGACGCCATGGATTGGATCAGGTGTACCTAATGTTTTGTCCAGTCAGTCTGTCTGTGCTCCACACATCAGCCGCGGTTACCTTCAGAGCCGTTTTCATGGCAGCGACGGCGGCGCGGCACAGCGATGCCGCGACGCTTTGATCGCCCCTGCTGTCCGCCTGCCGAACGCACAGGAAGAGCACGCTGGCCGCCAGCCCGGGAGAGAGCGACACGCCCACATTTGCCCGCACGTCTGGACACAAAGACAGAAAGCTCGTACGTATGAGTGGATTGCTCGAGATTTCATCAGAGGCTTTTCATTGAAACAAATATCTGATGAGTAACCACAATATAAAACTCATTGAAAATAAAGCCTTTGAAGAAGAAACTGACACATGCCACAACACACATTCGACTGCATTTCACGTCATCTCCAGTGAAGCGAGTCACGAGCGCAAAATGAATTTCACGTCACCACAAACTCGTCCGTCACTGACTTCCTCAAACATGTCGTGCAGCAATTGGTTTCAAGGACGTTTTGTTGAGCGGATACATTGATTTAGACTATGTGCTGCGTTTAGCCTGGGTAGTTCTGGAGAGTCTTCCATGTCAACTACAAAATAGAATTCTTGGCGTTTCACGGTGTTTATGAAAGTCACGCGACACAATAGAAGGCTCACCGGTGATGAGATTCTTGATGAGCTTGCTTTCATCTCGTCTTCTGCATTCCAGCAGGCCAGCTGTTGAGGGCACTTTCTGCTGGGCTGAAGAAGGGCTCTCGGTGGGAAAAACTGATGGTAAAACTAGAAAAAGAATTTGGCTCAGAAATTTTTTGTGAGTTTGTGATGGACGAATGTCAAAAAACATTCAAGAAAATAGGGATCTCTCACCTTGAGTGAGGAGTCGTCGGAATGTGGCGGTGTTTCGAAATTCCTTCAGTTCGCTCCTCAGCCTTGCACACTCTTGCTCGCAGGCATCCAGAAGCTCCTTCACATCCAAACGTTTGGAAGTTCATAAAATCAGTGGTGTGGATTTTACATTACACGTGTCTACATAAGCAGGTAATGATGTCTTTAGACTTGGTGAAGCAGCATGTGGCTCATTAAACACCGTTAAAAGTCCGCCGTTCGACCCACAAGCCAAATTAGGACAAGCGCTACAGTAAGTGGATTTTACAAAGAAGCAGCTACCTGTTGATGAGAAGATGAACCCGAGCTGACTCGAAGCAGCTGACACCTCAGCCTCTCCACTTCCTCCTCCCACTGACTGCGTTGACTAAGCAACTGGCTCTCCAAAAACCTCCAAAGGACAAAAAAAAAAAAAATTACTGTTAGTCGTGACTGCACGTTTTCAGTTGCAGAGACGAATGAGTGAAGACTCACTTGTTGGCCACTCGTACTGCGTCGTAGGCGTGGGCCAGGTCTTCTCCTTTCAGCTCAGCTGCGGACTCTTTGCTCAAGCCCAACTTGTCCATCAGCTGGTCCTGCAAGTGTGGACAAAGGCTGAGCGGAAAGGGAAGTGGCGCTTCGAAAAGGCTGCACGCTTTGTCGGGGTACATTTGAGAGGAGGAGGACAACAAATGAATCGAGCTGTATTTGAAAACAAATGTGTGGCAAACCATTGGCGTTTCCAAACTCCACTCGGTGAAGCCTCCCTCCGCGGTGGGAGACGTCACACTGACCCGGCGCACCTCCTCCGGAGACGGGAAGGCAGACGGAAAGGGGGAGAGGGAGAGCGGGGTGAGGGATTGAGGTGAGGGGGACGGAGGCTCGGAGCTGAGCGCGGAGTCGGATCTCCTGAGGCCCCTGGTGCCCTGCGGTGACATGGACGCACAACGCTGTGACGGCTCGGCTTACATGAGGCAATGAGTTGAAGGAATGCGGAAGAATATCTGCGCCGGTTTGAATGACTGAAATTGATTGTTTTTAAACATCAAATTTCAAGCAACTGAATTTTTTTACCATTAAAAAAAATATACATCTCGATTTTTGAGTTCATTATTCAGCGTAGCGAATGGGATTTTCACAGCCACGTTGGTGATGCTGACTTTGAATTTACAGATCGGACATGAGGTGAATATTTGACACTGAGTTTTAAGTGTCATCATGAATTTGACACTGAATTTAAAATGTATTTGGACCAGAAATAAATAAGTAAATCAATCGGCGTTTGAAATTTGATGATCAAAAATTAGGGCCAGTAATTTCAATTCAAATTGATGGCACACATATTGTTCCATCGCGTTGATATGTTTTTTAATACGTTAAAATGTTTATTCGATTATACATTATGTCAAGTATCTTTTCATCATCAGTCATCTTTCATTTGTTTTACGGATTATTTTGTTTCATTCGAAAACAAAATGGCTCCTAATTTGCATCACACCGTGCACACTATCATCAGAAAATGTTCATATCGCTTAGATGAAGTGACACTGTTAGATTGGTATGGATAGATTTGCCGTTAATGCTCATCACGCAGCCTGCCCGCAGTAAAAATGAATGCGTGTATTTTTCCACATTGCTTTTGTCTTGGTTGTGTACCTGAGTAAGCTGGCTCATCTCCCTCAGGTTATCGTATCGCTGCTCCAGCCTTGTGAACTCCCGCAGGAGGCCCTGGTGCTTCCTCCTCTCCTCGTCAAGGTCCGCCCTCAAAGCCGCTGTGGCCTGAGACGCCGCTTGTTGCGCGAAAGCTGCACGGGAGACAAAAAAATTGGGAAAATGTACGAGAAAGGAGATGCCAAAGCCAAAGGGAGAAGTGGTACCTTCTTGTGCTTGTTCCTGCTGAAGCAGGCATGCAGAGAGACGCTCCGTTTCTGCGCGGAGTGACGCTTTTTCCCGCTGCAGCGTCTCCACTTCCTTCGAGAGTCACAAAGTGCTCAAAGTAATGCATGAAGTGAGCCCAAAAACAAAAGTTGCCGCTACTGTTACCTGTGAAAGCCGAAGTAGCTCCTGGGCGGCCTTCTCCTCCGCTCGCCTCCTTTCCTGCTCCATCTCCTGGCTCACGACGGAGCAAGGAGCAGGAGAAGGCGCGGCATGCTTCTGACGTGCTTCCAGTTTCTCAAATTTTGCCTTCAGAGCAGCCAGTTCGGCGGCGGCGACCTCTCGCTCAGCACACAGGCTCTCTCGAAGGGCAGCGTTCTGTCTGGCCTGGACACGTGATTCTTGTCGTTATGCAATAGATGAGTGAAATTCCTTCACTTCATTGCTACCCCCAACCCAAACCATTAGCCTAACTCCATACATTGAAATACCCACCCATCCCGGAAACAAAAAACCAAATCCCTATTCTCTGCCTGGAAATGACAACTCTGCACATTTCTTGACCATATGACATAACGACACACCTCCAGGTCTGCTCGCATCTGCAGCTGGATCAGTTTGACCTCCATGCCTTTGTTGAGTTCTCGGTACCTCTCCACCGAGCGGGCTTCAGTCTTGAGTTTCAGCAGTTCCTTTCTGGCCGCCTTGCGACGTACGCAACACTGCGCAAATACGACGGCCGCCCGCAACCTCGTGTGGGTCTTTCTCGCCAACCAACCTCGCACTCTGGCCTGGAGCAGCGTGGCGGCTCGCTCGGCCACGAGCTAAGCAAAGACATCAGCGTTCCCCCATGAGAGTACTCCATCTTTGCGTTTGAATCAGGACATCATCGGATTCCAAAACACTAACCCGCCGGTAGTGACGACGGGTCAGCGTGCCTCTGACAAAAGCCTGGATGGTGATGGTGGCTTGACGGACCAGGAGGAACACGTGTCTGTCCACCAGCATGCGGTAAGTCTTCTGGATTACCAAAGCAGCCTTGGTGTACCGCAGAGTCTGCGCCAACCTGCAAGGAGATGAAATTAAATACAAACAGCCCGTGTGCTTTTGTGTCACAAAAACCTCCATCCATCCATTTTCTATGTTGTTTGTCCTCATTAGGGGAGGAGCCTCAGAACCCCGAAGCGGACGTGCTAACATAAGCTGCAGTGCTGCCGGCTAGAATAACAGAAAAATCGCAAAAATAAGTCAGCTCACCGCCGAGCCAGTGCTCCTCTCCAGTATCTTTGTACGGTGACGGTGGCCTCGAAGGTTCTGTTGTAGTGAATCCGGGCCAGCCATCCTCTGACACAACTCTGAAGGATCACGGCGGCCGCTCTGAGCCTCTCCGCTCGTAATCTTTCCAGAACAGCCACCTGCCCAGCCCGGAAAAAGACTTTGGTCTTTCCGAAGACGTACTGGTCCGGCTCAGGGATGAGCCGAGGCAAGGCCTGCTGGCACGTCAGCCGGATTTCTTCCCAGCGCTCGGACCCTCGCAACAGAACGCGATACCTGTAAAAGAACTCCTCGTACGTCCATCTGGGGAAATAACAATGCCAATTTAATAAAATTTGTCCCTGTGACGCTTGCAAAAGTGTTTGGACGATTATTTAATGAATTAAAATCTCATAAAAAACTTTTTTTTTTTGCCAAAAAACAAAAAAAAGTCTTCAGAAGTAATCATTGCATTGTAAATCACCAATATGCGACAGATTACATTAAATCGCTCGTAAAGAACAAGAAATCATGACCTGGATGGAAAACCAGCAGCACTGATTCGAATGGTCTCCAGCACTCCACACGCTCTCAACTGCTGCACCGTCCTCTTTGGGTCAAACCTGATAAGGAAACGTTTTCAGTTTCACAGGCCAGCTGTCAGTGATAGCCTTGAAGTAATCGCTCACACAAAGGGCTCCTTGAGGTCGTTGGGTTTAATACAGCGCACATAGTGAGGTGTGGTGCTGTTCAGAGTGTCCATCAGCATCTGCAAGGACTGACGGAACTAAAATGAAGAAAAAAATTGAGGATATTTGATGAAAAAGACAAAGGGAGACATTGGAGCAGGAAGAAGGAATTTTGTAAAAGTTCACCTGAAAGCCCACGGTCAACTTGTGTTCTCTGTGGGCTTTTCTTCCTGTGTGGACGCTTCCATTGGCCACGCTCGATCCTGTTCCTTGCTGTTGGAACAACTCGGCTACCAGCTCCGACTGACACACACACACATATATATGTGAGAATGCTGATTTTTAATCTAAAGTTTTGTATTGCTGTCCAAACTCAGGGTCGCTTCACTTTAGATTTTCAAACTATCATGCATCTACTCCAGTAACGTACAATCACAGACGCACATCTACCTGACTCGCTTTCAAAACATTGACCAGCTCCTCGAAGACAGTGTCTCGATTCTTATCGAGGAAGCCACCGCATTCGTACTGCACCTGCAGAAACAAACCGATGCTAAATGGACTCAATTAAACAGAAGAAGAGTGAAAGAAATGCGCATCACACACCGTGTCGGCAAAGTGCAGGATGACGAAGGCCCTGTTGGACATGCGAGGTTTGCGGAAGTGGGGGTGGCATCGGCTGGTCAGGT